GCTCACATCCATTAGCTCGTGTTCGTGTTCTTTGGCAACAACGATTGAGGCAATATGCTCGACCTCAGCGGGCTCGGCAGTATTTGTGTTGTTGTTAATTAAGTTATTTTCTTTGATTTTGTTGTCTTCAGTCTTTTGTTGCGTCTCAATAGCAGTCGCCGGGTTGACTAAGTTCGCCACGGCGTGGTTTGTTGTGTTGGTTTTTATGTTTACATTTTCGTTGGCATCACTGTTCGCATTTACTTCTTTGACATCTTTTGTGTTATTGTCAATGCTGCTGCTTGTTGTCGTCTCGACCTCGTCAGCATTGTTGTTTAACAAGTTCTTTGTATTTAGCAATGAGACATTGTCCTGTTCGGCCGTGTTTGCTTCATTGCTGGCAATGAGATTCTCATCGGTGGACGGTTCTTTTGTCGCCTGCTTCTTCTCATTCTTGAGCACACCTTGCACTACTTCATTCACTGCCAATTCAATCTCTTCATCCTTGAGCACAGAAGAAGCTTCCTGCAATTCGTCGGCAACCAATTTACAGTGTTGCAGCGCCTCTTCGGAGCTTTGCAGCACTTGTGCCACATGCTCGGTATCGTCGGACGTGCCAGCTGCGATCTTTGCAGTGGCCAGCTCAATTTCTTCCAAATCCTCCGGCTTGAGGTTGAGGGCTTGTGACAATGCTTCTTGACCGCCATTAGGCACCGGCGACTTGGCTGGTGTACTGCTGGTGCTTGCGGCCGTCGACGAGCACGAAGCACTACCGTTGCAGGTCACGGCAACCTCCGGCGACTCGACTATGCTGGTGACTATCACTTCCGATTTAATGTGTTCATTGTATACATCGGATATGTTGGATATTTTCGACTTTGCTGGGTCTTCGGTTGCATTCGCCATAACAGACGCCTCCTTTACCACTTCTGTATCGTTTGCTTTCTCGTCTGGCGAGCAGCCGCAAGTCGTTGTTTCAATCGCGCCACTTGTAGGTGTCTCTTCCTGCGTTGTCGCCTCGATTTCGTCGACCTCGATTTCCTCCTCCACAGGAGGTACATCTTCGAGTGAACCCACCGACTCAGCGTCTTTTAAATGCGCTTCTTGTGCCGCAGGCGCTGGCAGTGCCGCCTGCTGATGATGCGCATGCGTATGCTCTAGCTGTTGTTGCGGTTGTTGATGGTGTTGATGATGTTGCTGCTGCTGCTGCTCCTCACGTTCCCAACCACTGATCGTGCTGATGGGACGCGCTTGGCGCAACGCCGGATCGGTAATATTGTCCGTACGTTGGCGTTCGTAATGTTCGTACATTTGCGCAAATTGTAGTTTGAACTCTTCGTAGGAGACTTTCGAGTGCACGATGGCTAGTGTGTCGACCCACACACGCCATCCACCGTACTCATGTTTGATGGCGTGATGCAAGAGCATACGGAAGAGTGAGTACACCATATCGGAGATTTTCTGCTCCTCTGTATTCTTCGGATGTATGTAAGCCATAGCTATAAGCCACTCTTGCCAAACGGACATCTGGAGTACAGTGCGCCGGTTCTCACGATTGCTATTGCAAAGCAGCGTCATGTCGGAGAGGAAGAGCTTCTTTACTTCGATTAGCGATTCGGTTTGCTTGGATTGACGTATGAGCGTGGCGACGACTTTGAGGATCACTGAAATGAAAGAAGAGGAAGAGGAAAAGCTTTAGGAATGCGGCAAAGAAAAACATACGTAATTAAAAATGGGTCGAATTTAAAGCTAAATATTTTTTTTTTGTTATTTAAAAAAAAAACCATATAAATAAAAGTTGCGAACTTTACATTTGAATCGGTTAATTACCAAAGGGAATAAGTCAGCAGATCGGTTCGTTTAAAGGAGATCTGTTGAACTGCATCAAATTTGCTACCAATATTAAGGACTAAATTCACAGTGTGTAGTTAGCCACTGACCAGAGTTTAACCGTCGATTTTGCTATTCACAACGTTCAGTTAACAAAAGCTAAAACCGGATTGCCCCCATAGTTAAACTCTTGTGAAACTAAAACTCTTTTTTGAGTATTAATTTCTAGAATTTCTACATTTTCAGGCGATATGAATTTTCATAGCTAACGGCTGTAAATTCAAAGTTAAACTCTTGTTGGTGGTGAAGTTAACAATGGTTTAACTAAGCACTTTGAATCCGGCCATAAATATATTCAAATTTCTTGCTATAGTAGTTTCTATGTGCAAGGAGGGTATGGAAACTAAAAACGGGTCTCCTCACTTTTGTCAGTTTTACTAAACGAGCTATACGCACTATATATTCAAAATATTTATAATTGTTTTTGTACGCAGCTAATGTTCTATTTTTGCGAAAACTAATTCCTCATTATTTCGCCTGAAGCAAGCGCAGCAAAAATATTTCTCAATTTATTGCAGCTTAAGTGTAATAACATCACTTTTAATCTTCACATATTTATAAGTTTCGCCTTACATTGCATCATTTTCGTTGCCTCATTACTTCACATTCATTTTGCTAATCCCAAGTAGAGGATTTACAGCGCAGTTTTATGCTCAAGCGAACACACATGCGTGTTGTAGGTTCTTTTATGCATAGCCCCGCAGGAAAAATGAACTTTTTAAAAATCGTTCTAGTTAAAAATCAGGTATCTAAGTACAGCGCTAGGGGCGGTCAGTGTCTTTTCATAACAAGAATGAAAAAAGCAAAGTTATGTATAGACAAAGTAAATAAGCTTGCAAATAATAACTATGGCTCAGATGATAATAGCAGATGTCACATAGTAGATGGTTTTTATGAGAAGTTCTTTTTCTGACAGAAATACAAACGGTTTACCATCGCCATTGCACCTCTAACGATGGCGGCCATGAACAATATCATCTATTTAGCATAACACTGCTGAACTGGAATGAGGCTGATATCTTCTTTGACTAGTTCAACAACTGGTATTAGTCATACATTGGCGCAACGCCAAATACAAAATACCAAATACACGTCAGAAATATCAGAATTTTCAAAGGGTATACCGATTTCCGTGAAACTTCGTGGAATCGTAATTCTATGTGAGAAAAACTTTTCCCTTAAAATTATTTTGAAAAAAAAGTTCAAAATTTTAGAAGATACACTATTTTCAATTTTAACATTCATTAATTTCATAAAATTTGTGATAATTTTGAACTGATATTCGTTGACATTATGAAACTTATGCTGGATTTCTACTGGGCATTAAGTGACAAAAATGACAAATGACAAGGTCGGGAATTATAAAATAATCGTGTCATTACTTTAAAAATATATTCATTAAGTTCCATTCTACATGGCACTTTTTTAAATAGCATAGATTTTTTGTAATATCTATGCCTAGTGAAAATTCGGCATTACAAAAAAAAGTTAAATGTAAAACATGATTTTTGATTAAAAAAAAACAATATTTAGTTAAATAAAATTTTTTTAATTTATTTATCTTGACATACATTTCTGAAACATATTATTTTTTTTTATTAAAACAATCAAAGAAGTATAAGTTCGGGCGAAACCGAGCATTATATACCCGGCGCATATATGTATATATCAAATATCGTCCCTCTAATTTTCTCTTAACTACCCTGCAAAAAATTGTGCGACTAATCTCTAAAGAGAGCATTCTGAGATTACTCTCAATCGGATACAATTGGGCATTAATTAGTCGCAACTAGTCTCATACGGGTACTAATGGGGATCAATTAGTCCCGACTGATCCGTTACGAGATTTAATGATATGGACGCTATTAGTCAATGAAATTCCAAGTGTGGCGTTGGCGCATAGAGAGAATATTCGTTTAACAAATCTGAGCACCCTGGTTCGAATCGCGGCTGGCGCAAATTTTTATTTTTATTTTTTTAAAGTAACTAGTCGCTTTTTGTACCCGTTCGGATATAAAGGGAAACAATTAGTCCCTTCATAGGACATGCTTGAACAAAAGCGAACAGTTTATTCCATATAAATAGATCAAAAGTCGTAGTAGTCCTTTGCGATTGATCCCGGAGTCATCCCGGATTACTCGCATTTTTTGCAGGGTGCCTTTGCATGATAAGTAGGTAGTAGTATTTCTCACGATTTCAAACGCTTTCGATAATATGCTGAGTTATACTTAATGAAATAATTGAACCAAGTTTGGTAGAAATCGATAAAAAAGTTACCGAGACACACCTTGTAGTCATAAACTACTAAAAGTCTATAGCAGTCTAATTTATTGTTAAGAGATTATTGTAACCATAACTTGGAGTAAATTAGCGTCCTCAGTTATTGAAATATCAGAGTTTTCGTACGTCTTACCATTATACGGGAAGCAGAAGTAATTTTTGACCGATTTGAACAATTTTCATCGAATTACTTTTCTGTACCGGGGTTATTATGTGCAGCGAGATTCGTAGAAGTTGATAAATTGGTTACCGAGATATACGCTTGG